CGGCACCTCCTTCCAACCAACTGTTGTTTTGGTGAGAGTAGTTCTGTGGGGCAGTCCAAATGGGTGCTTCGCTTCTGATCTGTCTTGGTTGTTTGGCTCAGTAGTTTTGACTGTGGTCCCTTCTACTTTCTCTGTTGTGACTTCCACTTGGTCCAAGTCTCTCGAATGCGGACTTTCTTTGATTTTGATCTTCCTTTCTATGAGATGTTGATCTGGCGGGTTGTCTTGAACGGGTTCTTCCATCGTGTGTCTTTAGGGCTGCTGTCCGGAGAAGTTCTCGGAGTTGTTCCTGCTGTTCGTTGGGATGCGAGGTCGTTCCGAGTTCTTCAAGTGCTTCTCGGATCCTGTTGTAGGGTGTGTTCGCCGCACGTCTTTCTTCGACTTCTTGTTCTGATTTTCTTCTATTGTATTCGGCCAGATCTGACTCATATCTGATCTAGGCTTCTTTACGCTGCCTAGCACATCGTTGGCGTCCTTGTTTTAATTTGTTTCTTCTTTCTCTGCCTTGCCTCTGACTCTCGGTCTCACCATCGTAGCCCTGGGCAAAGGGTCATATGTTGGACTCAAATTCATCTGATGATCTGACGTCGGGTGCTTCTGGGGGGATCAATGGTGATCGAGGACGTCGAACCATGAGTACTTCCCGTGCGTGAACTGTTCTGTTACTGGTGTTGGTTTCCATACTGTCGGAGTTGCTGATAACTTTGGTAGAAGCTTCAAGGTCGCAGATCGAGTCTCCTTCTTGGTAGGGTAGAATTGCCGTTGTTGTCGTGCCGACCAGTCGAGTACTGCTATCCTCAGGAATAGAACCTTGCCAGTGGACAATGCAGTCCTGAGACGTTATGGTTAGCACGAGACCTTCCTGAGCTCATTTCAGTGGCATTCTAAGCACCGGATCGAGGGATCCTTCGAGCCGTGCCTGATAGGACTTTGCCATGTTGTGGGGTCCGAAACGGAAAAGGATCTAACTTCTTGAAAAGATTCTGAGTGTTCTCCGAGTTGTATTCTTGATATGCCGAGGCCGCGTTCTGGAGCCCCATCGAAAAAGAACTCGGATCTTCGAAAGAACTCGGGTCAGACTCCATCTCGGATGCGGAGCCTGAGTTTGAGTCGGATGCGCAAAGCCGTGAAACCTGAGTTGAATCGGACGTCACGAGCTGCGCAAATCTTCTGGTGATTTGATCTATCGTAGTCGCCGAAATGGAAAGGTCTTCATGGTGAACCGAATCTTCGAGAAGACGGCTTTGGAGTTTGCCATCGTCGCCTGCCTCGTAGATCCACGAACCAAAGATGAAGGTTGATCCCGTTGAGAAGATCATGTTGTCGAGGTCCATCGAGCTCTCGGATGCAAATTCGCCGAAAGCCTCTACCTGACGCGCCAGCTGTCGATGTTTTACCACCGATAGCCTACCACGGGGTTATCCGGGGCAGTATGTTCGGGCTTCAGCGTTTGCGGAACTCGACGGTGAACGCAAGAGACAATCGATTTATCCTGGTTCAGGCCCTCGACTGTGGTCGAGTAACAGCCCTACGTCCAGTCGGCGTTAGCCTTTGCGTTGTATTGATTGTTCGGTGTTGTTGTGTTCTATCGTCCTCCCTAGGAACCCCGCCCTCCTTTATATAGGTAGGAGATCAGAGTCCTAGTCGGTTTACAATGAGAGTTCCTAGTAGGATTACAGAATAATACTACTAGTAGAATTACATGGGAAGAATCCTGAATTACATGGGAAGAATCCTAGTTGGACTAGATCTTTTCTTTTCCTGGCGGGGTATCCTGTGGGTCTCGCATCGACAAGTGGTTGGAGGCGGTACGGACCCTCGTCGGGCGAGGCGGAGCCCGCGCCCTCGAGGTCGGGCGACTTGGAGCCTGTGCCCCCGGGGTCAGGTGAGGCGGAGCCCGCACCCGAGGGGTTGTGCGAGACGGAGCCCACACCCTCGGAGTCAGGCGAGCCGGAGCCCGTACCCACGAGGTCGGGCAAGGCGAAGATCGTGCCCGAGGGGTCTAGCGAGGCGGAGCCCGGCCCCGAGGGGTCGGGCGAGACGGAGCCCGCGCCCTCAGGGTCAGGCGAGACTTTAAATACGCCTCTGACCATCAGGGCGGATTATCGTTACGCTGTCATTAGCTTTTTTCTTCCGGATATCCCTAATATTGATACCCAATAATCATTCTTCCTAAAATATCATAAACCTGGTCCCACACGAAACTTTCTTGGCGACGATGTGGGTTTTAATTTTCATTTTTTTCTTAAAAAAACTGAATTAGGAGTATGTTTTGGGAATTCTCGTAGATGCTGGGATGCTGCGATTAGCTGTGCATACTGGCCGCTACCGCCCCTAGGCGTTCACAGAACATTCTCCATAAAAAAAAAAAAAAAACCGATTGCGTGCATGGTTCACAGCCCAAGAAGCAGCAAGGCTGCGGCCTATCACAAGGCCCATAGGGCCCAATGGCTTGTAGCACCATTCCTAATTGAGATCCCACCACCAGGAAACCAGCCCGGCGTACACACCTCGTGAGTGGTGACAGGACGCAGGAGCCACGCGGGGTGGACCGCGGACGTGTCCACAGTGGCCGTGTGTGCGTTGGTCCAGAGATCGACCAGACCCGTTCGATCATGTCCAGGCACACCTTAGGATCCCCCATCATCCTCTCCTCGTTCCCGGCGGGCCATGGGCCATACGCGCCGCGCGTATCTCGTCGTCGCCGTGCTCAACGGATCAGACCGTCCCATCAGTGACGCCACAGACAGAGGAAAGCAACACGGACAGATGGTCCTCATCCCCGCTCCCCGGCTGGTCCTGCCATGCTTACACCCCCCCCTGCAACTGCAACGCCGCCCGCCCGCGCTGCCTGCCTGGATCTCCACTACGCACGACGATCTAGAAAGCTTGCATTGACAGCCGGCCGGTCGGCCAGGGTCGGGGTCCCCCATCTTCACCCATGATGCCGTGAGGGGTTTGACCCCTGATCGCCGAGCCGAGTCACGTCGTCGTCACACGATCGGCGCCGGATTCCGAGCATGGTGACCGGCGCCCGCTTGTTTCCCATGCCATGCGTGCCCACAGGTGCGTTCAGTGCCTGCATCATGCATGCGACGCGATGCAGTTGCGGTAGCAGGCGCGCGGGCGCGGCTCCAATCATTACAAGGCCGGCCGGCCGGTCAGCATGCCACCGCCCACCGGCGAGCGGAGAGCCGCCGCGAACCTACTCGTAGGGGGACCAAATCCCAAACGGCGACATGCCGATCGATCGAACGGGCCATCGGAGTTGGCGTTGGCGACGACGGTGCCGGACGCGATGATGACCACCTTATCCCTAGCACTGTTCCTCCCTAGCTAGCTAGCTAGCTAGCTAGGCGCGATGCAGCAAGAAAGCGTCAGCTCTGTAGTGCATGCATGCATGCATGCCAACTCCTACCTAGCCTGGGCCCACCTGTTGCGGCTCCTCTGTTCGTTCGTTCGTTCGTTGGACCGACCGGCCGGGACCATCGCATATGCTGGGTGCGTACATACGCCGCGTGACGTGACGTGACGCGATGCACACACATCTGATGCCTGCAGCACGAGCCAATGCCGATCGATCGATCCACGACGGGTCGAGCGATCGGTCCAGCCCGGCGGTTGGGCCCCCAGCTGCCGTTCCGCGGGGGAGCACGCCGCGCAGCGGCGCAGAGGCGTGGGCCGGGCTCAGCCAGCAGCTCCTGCTCCGGCGGCCCGGCGCGGCGGGGCCTCCCTCTCCGTCCCTCCCCTGCATGGGCCCTGGGGGTCCTCCTGGGCCACCGTATGCCGTCGCCTTCCTCCTCTGGGTGCACCGCCTCGCGGCCACCAGCCCACCACCGGACAGACACGGGACGCGCCCGCATTGATGTTGATGCCGGGGAGCCGCCGGGCGGGCGACGGGGGCGCTGGTCAGTGGTCACGCCGCTATTTGCCGTGGCTTGCCTGGCTGCACTCACGGCTGCGCCTGGACTGGACGCGTGGGTGGGTGTGGGCCGACGACGGCTCAGGCAGGCTCGTGATGGGGTGTGGTGTGGGTCAGCAGAGACGATGCAGAATACCAGCAGCTTCTTCAGTTACGCGATTTTTACGCATTCATCATGTGGTACTCCACTACTCTTACATCGACGGGATTCCAGTGTACAATTCCCGTTCGTTTGTTTCATAAGACATAACTGAAAGTACCGTTGACTAATTTATTGTGAGAGAAAAATATTATTCATTTACTTAAAAAAAGCACAACTTATAAGCCGACGTGGCGCTGGCCAGCCATTGCACTTTCAGGCGCTACCGATCGAGTACTGTTGCCACTTCCACGGCGACCACTGCACTGCGCACTCCGGGCAGAGGCGGGCAGGCCTACTTCCCATGATCCCGTCGTCCCACGCGTCCAAGCCAGATCCGTCGCAGCGCAGGCCGCCCAGGAGGCCAGGCCCCCAATCGAGAAACTGTGCACCCATCAGCTGGCAGCTGGTTCGCATTGCACTGCCGATCCATGTTGCCAGCCTTGCTTTCGCCTTCACGCCGCAGTCCCGCATCCCGCATCTCGCCACGAATCATGGCGCCATTCAAGCGGCTGTACGACGCCCAAGTCAAGGCCCGGCCGGGGCCGCTGCTTTGCCTTCACCTTCACCCATCGATGGTGAGTGCCGGTACTGTGCGATACGGTCGTCGCTCTTCACTGCCGCCACATGCCCGGAACAGCAAACAGATCATCATATCACCAGAAGCAGCAATGGCGGCAGCAGCAGCAGGCAGTACTGCTGGTAGAGTAACATGCGAGCCATGACGCCGGAACAGAACCCAAACGGCCAGTGCAGCTGAAATGCATCCATTGTTTCCTTGGTTGGAGTTCTTAAAACTGTTCCATAATCATCGGCGTTACATGGCTACTAATTAACAGTTCCGATGAGCAATGCTAATTAACATGATTAAGGCGTGGTAAAAAAACAGGTTATTGTTTTACATCACTGGCTAATTGAAGACGGCGAAGTACTGCGTGATCAGAACACCAGCTTCCGGCGTGGCAGGGGCCGGTCCGCGTCAGCAAGCTCCCGGATGGTGTCCGCGACCAGGTCCTTGAACACCAGCCGCTCGATCTGCAGCACCGCGTCGGCGACCTCCGCACCGTGCCGCTGCTTCTGCTGGGATCCCCACGGGCCGCTGCTGTCCGCGGCCAGGTCGCGCCGGATGGCGCTGCAGGTGACGTCGTTGAGGTCCGCGTACTCCCCGGCGGCACGCGCCACGACGGGCTCGCCGGCGCGCCGGACCTCGGCCCAGACGTGGGCTACGAGCTCGGCGCCGCGGAGCCACGCCGCGGGCTCCCAGGGGCACGCCGACCGCTGCGACTCCAGGGCCTCGGCCACCGCGCCGCACAGCAGCCACGTGTCGTCGGGGTCGCCGCCACGTTGGTGGCGCCTGCGCTGCTCCGCGGCCTTGTACGCGTCGGCTGGGTCCCGCCGCGTTCGGCGGGAGCCACCGAGCAGCCGGACGAGGTCGGCCACGTACGCGTAGTCCGGGTCGCTGCAAGCCTCCGGGTCCAGGGGCCATGACGATGGGGCCCACTCGTCATCCTCTGGGTCGGACAACGTGGCGGCCGCGGCCTTTGGGCGGACGCTGCTGCTGCTGCGGAAGTCGATGGCTCGTTTTGACCCGGACGACGACGACGGCGAGTCCTCGTCCGCGAGGAAGGCCGCCGCGTCGAGCACGGACACGGGGCTGGGCTGCTGGTCGGTCCCCGCCGCGTCGCCGCCGGTGAACGCCTGGATGCTGCTCAGGAGCTTCCCGCACCGCTCCAGCAGGCCGCGGTCCGTCCTGGGGTCCGGCTGCTGCAACGGTCCCAGAGAAGGTTAAGACATTCAGAAACACCGTAAAATGTTACGAGTAACAGGAGTGCTGGTGTAGGCGCGGGAGGCTTACCGGCTCGAAGTCCCACCGGGAGGAGGCGCTTAAGGAGCTGCTGCTGCCGCCGTCGGAGAATGTGGTGGAGGCCTCGTCGTCGGGGGACAGGGCCGCGGCGTTGTGCGCCGCGCGGCTGGCAATGCGAGAGCGGGCACCGGCGGAGTCGAAGCCGCTTGGCTTCCTAAAAGGAGCCTGCGGCTGCTGCTGTTGCTTCGGAGACTGCGCCGGCGAGACGCGACGCTGGGGGGACAGCGAGCCACGCCGAGCCGGGGAGGCCGGGCTACGTGCGGGAGACGCCGCCAGGTCCGGCAAGCGCTGGCGGCGCGCGGGCGTCAGCCGCGCCGGCGGCGACATCTGCGGCGGCGCGCGACTGGACGGGCGCATGACGACGATGGGTGGCGGAGGGGTGCGTGCCTGCGCAGGCGCCGGAGGAGGGGTGTGGTGGAGGAGCCCTTTGAGCTGCAGCGCCTCCAGTATCTGCTTCAGCGTCTCGAGATCCCGCGCGGGCTCCGCGATGCCGCGCTTGCGGAGGCGCCGCTCGATCTCGCCGTAGAGCGCGATCTCGCCGTGGGCAGCGCCGCCGGACGCCTGGTCGCGCGCGCTGCTTCGCGGGCTCCGGAAACACATCGTGCGCGTCGAAGCGGCTGCGCCTCTGGAACGCGCGCGGGACGACGGCTGGATCCAGCGCCCGCCGCATTGCCGCCGCCTCCTCGGCCGTCGGGGACGACGCCGGCGAAGGCCGGTGCGGCGGCAGCGGCAGCGGCGACGCCGCCGGCCTCTCGAAGAAGGACGGGTCGACGAAGCGGAACTGCGATGGGTCCCGCGGCACGCGCTCGACGCGGACCGCCGGAGCGCGGCCGGGCTCACCGCGCCGCCGCCGTGCCCGTGCTGCCCGCACTCGACGTCCGCCGCCTGGTGACCCGTGCGGGAGCGCGTCGAGGCCCATGAGCCGCGCGACCACGCTGGGGGACCGGCGCTCGTCGCCTCCCCCCGCGGATGGAGACGGCGGCGCGCCGGCGGCGGCGGCCGAGGTCCGGATCTCGCGCGGCCGGAGCTTGCCCCTGGCGTCGACAACCGCGCGGCTGTCCAACGAGAGCCGCGGCAGCCTCCACGTCGGCGCGGCGCCGTAACCACCGCCACCGCCTCCGTCCTTGAGGTCCAGCGGCGGAAGCTGCAGCGACGGCCGCGGCGCGGCCGGCGGCGTCATGTCCGGCGACGATGGCGCCGGCGTCGCGCGCTCCAGCGGCATTGACCGCTCGGACGGCGTCGCCGAGCCCTGAAACACACACAGCACAGCGGTGACAGCCATGATTCATTATCCGTTTGCAGCACAGAGGGGCAAGGGCGCGCGCGTACGTACACTGGAGAACGACGTGAGGCGGCGCTGCGAGTTGTGGAGGCGGCGGCCGGAGAGGATCTGGGGGCGGTCGAACAGGTGGAGGAACCCCGCCATGCAGCCCTGGTGCATGGGCCGCTCATCCAGCCGCCGCTCTTCGTCCTCGTCCACGCCCATCGCCACCATCCTGCTCCTCCTCTGCTTCCTCTCGCCTCCTCTGCGTGCGGCCGCGGCGCTCTGGGGTGCCTCGCTCTGTTCGGCTCCCGCTTTTGGGAGCAATTTAAAGCGGTGGCGGGGGAGCTCCAAATGACGCTACTACCCCCGCGCTACTTGTGTAAATTTCGGAGTGCCACTGTGTCTCGTGTCGACGAGTCGGGGTACGAGCGGGTGGGGAGGCGAGACGTTGGCGCCTAGGGAGCCGGGGCGTCGTCGACGGCACAGCTGGCCGTGCTGAGGATGACGCGTGGGCCCCGGTGTCATGCACTTTTTGCCTTTTTGGTTGTTTTTTTTTCGGCGGCTTGTTTAAAGGTGTGTTGTGTCAGTGGAGCTCGTGCCGTCGTGCGTGCGTGCATCGGCTCACTGGCTCGTTCGGCTTTTTACAGCTAAGGTCCAGTTTAGTTCCAGGAAATTTTGTCAAATTTTTCAGATTTTTCGTCACATCGACTCTTTGGACGTATGCATGAACCATTAAATATAAATAAAAAATAAAATTAATTACACAATTTAGACGAAATTCACGAGACGAATTTTTTAAGCCTAATTAGATTATGATTAGACATTAATTGTCAAATAACAACAAAACGTGCTACGGTGTATTTTGTAAAAATTTTCACCATCTAAACAGGCCCTCAGCTTTGGCCGGGGTGGTAGCGTAATGGGGCATCCGGCATGCCTTTGGCGATAACCGTGTTAGGAAATGATGATACTATCGGTTTACGTGTTTGCGGCAAATGTGTGAGCCACATAGACGTACTAGTAACGTACTTGTGACGATTGCTTGAAGTGTACGTAGGCAGAAGAAGATTGAGACATAATAATAATTCACGTTGTTACGTACCTGATGTTGTGTATATTCACTCTGGTTGTATGGATGACAGTTGGACCCATAGACAGAGGTACCCACAGGTTTCGTAGTCAACAGGTTTGGACACAGGCTTAATATCCACCCGTAGGTCTATGCTGGTTGGATACTCGCAAAGGTGTAGTAAGATGCGGATATTATATTTCACTGTTATCGAGGATACGGAATTCAGTATATTTATCTGTAGGATTATTGTTAAAAGGCCCAAGTTGGCCCAGCCCAAGAAAAATCCCAACTTATCTACAAACACCATCACAAGAATTGTCACACATCCCCTCCTTCGGTCGTGACACATTCTCGCTCACGTGCGTTTGAGCAACGATGCCAATTCTGCGTGACTATGCCTCACCTTCGCCCTTATCTTCTCTAGGCGGCCCACCCCATGACTCCTCTAGTCCACCATCCTCGTCGCGCCCCCTCCAATCTACCTACCATCAGCCAGGTCCTCAACTCTCGGACCTTTGCTGCAGGCCACAATCTACGCTCATTCAGCCTATTCGGCTGGTCTATAAGCCGCTTGTGCTGATTTGTATGGCTGATTTATTATGAGAGAAAAATACTGTAACATGGCTGATAAGCCTCGGCTGAAATGAACAAGCGAACAGGCTGCAAGAACTCTTGTGGTCGTGCCCAACCGGAGGCAAAAGTGTACGACACCCGTAGGGTTCCAAGCCTCCATTGACGATGGCATGTGGTGTCCTCATACCGACCCTCCACTCTTCTGGAACCTAGAACAGACCCTCAGACACTTCCCAATCCGGCCAAATCCCTCTTTGGTCTATGTGTGGGCAAGTACGAGTACAAATTCTTAAACCTAGGGCTTCCCGAGCATCGGTAAGACTTAAGGTTTCTTGTAAACTCTTGGGCACGTAATTGTTCTACCCGTATATTACCGAACCCGTTACCATCCCTATATATTTGAAGAGATATTGTGTGTTTCTGTTGCGAAACAACATTTCATCATGCACTTTGATTTCCAAGTTAACCACCACAAATGGAAAATACTCTCTGTCTAGTTAGCATGATAGTCTCTCGATCAAGTGCATTGCCCATAGGCAACATCCTCTGGCCATGCCTTTGTTGTCTTGGGTACACCTAAAATGCATTGTGCATTGACCCATATACTATCTCTGCTAGTTACCATGACACTTCATTGTTTGAGCCCTAAAGCCCATCATAATGGTGGTATGGGGCGGAGTCAGATAGATCTTGCATCGGGTGCTATTATAGTTGGAAACTCTAAACAAGTATGCGACTAATAGAAATTACACCAACCTTTAGCTTATGTTACATGGGGTTAAGTAATTACGTAACTTGGACCGGTCGTGGCTCCACAAGTAATGAGGGTGGTAGAATCAGGACGTCTGAAAGCATCTAGGCCCCTAGTTGGGTTTTGATGATTAATGACGACACGAGATTACTATGACTAACATGTTGAAAGGATCAAGATGCCCAAGAGGAGGGATGAATTGGGCTAATTCTAAATTCTTTGCAATAATTAAGTCCTACACTTAGCCCACTTCACCCCTTATGCCTCGAATGTGATTCTATTGATCTACCACACAAAAGTTTAGTACCCTAAGTTATAATCCTATTCTAGCATGGCAATTCTAGTAATGTAAAGACAAGAAATGAATTGCTCGAATGTAAATGTTTAAAGTAAAGGGAGGGAAAGGAACACGGCGATGTTTTGGCAAGGTATCGGAGAGTTGTCACTCCCCACTAGTCCTCGTTGGAGCACCCGCGCAAGGGTGTAGCTCCCCCTTGATCCGTGCAAGGATCAAGTGCTCTCTACGGGTTGATTCTTCGACACTCTATCGTGGTGAATCACCCATAATCGATCACCACTTGAGTTGGGTCATCCACAAGCTTCGCCGGATGATCACCAAACTCTCAATCACCACCGAGTCGTCTAGGTGATGGCGATCACCAAGAGTAACAAGCACAAATTCTCACTTGACCACAACAAGCCTAATGAGAAGGGTGGATGCACACTTGCAACTCTCCTTGCACTAATGAGGCCTTAATCTTGGATTATCAAATCTCAATCACCTCACTAGGCTCTTGCTCTCCTTTGCACTCTCAAGGGTGTTTCTCAGCTGAACAAATGGGCAAGAGACCTCCCTTGGACGAGTGGAGTAAGTATTTATACCCCCTCATTCAAAATATAACATTTGGAGGCTGAGTCATAACTCTGCGGGGTGACCGGACGCTCCGGTTAGTTATCCCCGCCACTGTGTCCGAAAGTGCCGTTACGTTCTGACCGGACTCTGACCTATGTCCGGTCAGCACTGACCGGACGCGTTCGGTCAAGAAAAATGCTCTCTAGAACCTTACTGATGTTGGCCGGACGCTGGCACCCAGAGTCTGGTCACTTTGCTATTCAGTGTCCGGTCAGTTACCGGATCCTGACCAGCGTTCGATCAGCACTGACCGAACGCGTTCGATTAGGAAACTCCCTCTCTAGAACCTCTCTGGAGTTGACCGGACACAGGCACCCAGCGTCTGATCACTTTTCACTCAGCGTCCGATCGCAACCAGATGACTTCAGTTGATCAAATGAACTGACCGGACTCACCCTCCAGCGTCCGGTCACAACCAGACTAGCATCCGGTCAGTCATTTGACCCTCCATTCACTTTCAATTTGAAATTCTATGTGAATGAATTGCAAGTTTAGTATATGAAAATGCAACTTTGGTTTTGGAGAACGAATATTGTTAACTAGGGTTTTTGCCAGCTCAAAAATCGAATTGGAAATTAAAATTAGCCCTTCTCGTTGAATCAGCAAAATTTGAAGTTGTGTTGAAAGTACGCTCTCTGGCAATTTATAAAATGCAAAAATAGTTAAATAACGCCCTAATGTTTTGGTTCTATTGATTGTTATAAAGTGTGTGCTATGTCATGAAATGGTTATTAGTGAAGTTTGGTAAAGTTTTGCCTGTTTAAAAATTCAACCAAAAGTACTAGGGAGTGTTAGTTCTAACTGGAACTTTGAATTTTTTAGTCAGAAAAGATGATAGATGATGCTACTTCAACATTTAAATATCCGTAAAAATTTCCTAAACACCAACTTCATGTTTTTGCACCGTCAGTTGCGTCGCAGTGAGCACTTGAGAATGGTGTAGATCGAGGTGACGATGGGTGTCACGACACTCTCATAGAAAGTGCTTAACTTCGTTAGAACGCGCTGTGGACCACGAATTGCTACTCGGTTCACAAACCAGCGCCAGCTTGACGAACCCATCCAGGCATCGTCGTATCTCTCTCTCTACTCACTCTTTAGTCTTGACAATTGCTTCGCTGGATAGCCGGGGGTGTGGACTTTAGGTTCATGTAGTTGGTTGAGCCTTAGTCGAGCTTTTCATCAATCTTTGGTATGCTTTAAATAGCATGCACGGCACTGTTTTCTGTCTTTCAGCTTGTGTTCGCAGCCACCGCCTAGTCAACGTGGTATTTCTTCAGCCGTTCATCCCACCTACCCCTAAGCTGCTGCTGCCATGCTGCTCCCTCGCCCCAAACTCATCCCGCCCAGCTTAGAGTCATTACACCGACAAGACCGTGCCGAGCAGGTCGGGCCACCTTCGAGTTGCTGCTGCCGCGTGCCCTCGTACCACCCGGTTGGAACCTTCCCTGGGCTGCCCTCTGGCTATCTCTTTGGCGAGCGAGCCCAACCGTCTTTGCCATAGTTGGGCTGTTAAAGCCGTTCCCGTCGTCGCCAGTCACCCTGACCGTCCCTCCCTCTCCTCCAAATTTGTCGAGCACAACGCATCTCCATCCAATTCCTTTTAGACAGGAGTGCTTTAGGTTCCTAGCTTGCTCATAAACAAGATCATGGTGGGAATCGTCCACCAGAGAGCGCACTCGAAGCATCGCCGTCGCCGCTGGCCACTGTGGGAGCCACACCAAGCTCGGACATGAACCCCTCCTATCCCTTCCCTTTTTCTTTGATCTTCTCGGTGTTATTGCTCTGCGTTGATGCCTCGGACTCGCCTATGAAACAGATTCACCGAAGCTCCAGTGGTTCGCTGGAACGACGATGACACCGCTGTCGCGCCAACTCGGATCTGCCCCGCACGTGGCCAACCATCTTACCAAGTCCCATGG